CAGGAACATGAAAGTACGTCAGAATTCAATGTTAATTAGGAGTTTGGCCATTATTGAGGGTTAGCCTGAAGGAGAGGGGACTCCCCAAGACAAAGTGACAAATTGCAATCCCTACAGAATTTCTAATCTCACTCATTCTACAAAGCTTTTAAACAGTAATCAAAAGCAGCAAATGCCTTTGCTTGAGAAGCAAACTGTACTCACCTACAAAACAGAGATAATGCAATATTTAAGCATGTTTATACACTGTAACCTGCTTTTAAAAAAATGAGCAGTTACTCTTCCCTGATAGCAGTCAAGACACCTGCTAGAACTGGAGACAGATCACCACACCTATGCACACTCTCTCACTCTGAACAACTGCTTTAATCACTCACTAACTACATTTCACTGCATTTCCTCATGCCACTGGAGCACATTCTAACCAGAGCACGGCCAGACAAATCACTCTACCTCTTGGTGCCGATGGCATGCCAACAGCAGCTGGGGCATGGCCTACAGCTCTGAACTCACTGATCCCACTTTAGATCACTGGTGCGACATGGCAGCCCCAGAACTGAGTATTGTAAGAAGAAATGGGACCCTCATTCTTCCAAATGGGCATAGTGGGATTACAACCTATCCCTCACATCGGGGCGGGGGGGCAGTACAAAGAACAGTTTTTATATGAAGAGGGACCTTATAGCCTATTGATGGGAGCATCCCTGCAGAGAGAGGAATGCGCTTTCCACTGCCTTTAAGATTCAAGGTTGGTTACAAGATAAGCCTGTTAAAATTAAGAATCCATACTTGCAAGCAGATTCTTCAGCAAAAGTCCACGGTAGATCTCACTACAACAGCTCCACAGAAATTACACCAAAGGAAAAGGCATACTCTCCAGAGTAGATTCTCTTCTTCACAGTCTGACATGCAACTTGGTATAGCTAATTATTTGTCCGTAATACTTTGACCTACCAGACACCATTTCATCAAAACTGGATTTAGCTTCTGGATGCCTCAGCAGTGACTTGGGTGTCAAAATAATCAGCTGAAAGACAGAAATTTTTTCAATGCTCAGGAGCTGCTTTATCTACATTATTACATGCAACATTTGTAACACTGTTCATACAAACCCCACAAACTGAATATGCTATAGATCAAATTAATGTGAATAGCAAACAGAGTAAATTATTTTTTCCTGCTCCTAGCCTAGGAAGCCTAGGAAGTTACAAACATATAAGATTTGGGTACTCCACTCCCTTTAAAGGTTCTGAAAAAGTACTGTGTATGCTTCTCTTTGAAAACAAAAATCAAATCACAGGCTATCAACCAGGGAAACATACAACAGTTACATCTTAGTTTTTTCAAGTTCCAGCAATTAGACATGGGGATTGTAGTTATGCAACCTGTTAGCTACACAGTGTCATAACAAGCTCATCTGAAGGTCTGCACAGCCAGAAGGAAGTAAAGCTGAAAATCAAGTTTTAGAATCACCGTAAGTCAGAGCTGAGTCTCATTCCACCAAATCAGCAACTTCAACCCGTGTTCATTTAAGATTTTTCACCAACGATTCTTGTTCTTTTCAGCAGTACGTCATATGCAAAGACCCCTCTTTATGTGAGGATTAATACACCTAGAATAATCAAGTCCATTACAGGAACTTTACCGGTTTTCTGAATGGCAGCAAGATCTGTCTTCTGAGGACGTGAAAGTAATTGGCTGGAGTTGAACAATTCACCACAATCCAGTTGCACTCATACAGCTGGGAAACTTCAAACTGCTCACTGAACTCCTGAGAGAGACATTAAAGGCATTAGAAAAATGTCTAAAAGATCGGGAAAAAAGGCTTGAAAGCTATCCTTCTATTTGTGACTCTCAGAAACTCCCTTCCTCAAAAAACTTAATTAGCAGATCTCTGCTGAGTTTATATTATTAGCTAGGGAAGCATCCCCACAAACCATTCTCTTCTGTTTCTACTTCTTCCTAAAAATGTATGCAAATACATGCAAAAAGCTTCCATTAATTTCAGCAAACTGGTAAGTCCAGGAGGAAAAGGTGAGGAGGATTGGGACTTCAGTAGGTGGAAGACACAAAATATAACCCCTTTGAAAGAATCTGAAAACTGTAATTCATTTTTTGAGTGTATAGTTGTCCTGTAGGTGTCCTGTCCTCTTATACTATTTTAATACATACATTTCATATGTTATATATTTATTTTATGAATATAGGGAGTTTTATAGATATGTACATAGATATGGATATAGGTAAGCATATATATAGGTATAAGTATGGTAGTCTCATTACAGATTGGTACAGTATCTAAAATTACTTCCTGGTCCAAGGTTTGAGTTCCCACCTTCTATGTTTAAAATTTATAACTCACTTATTACATGCAATTCACTTTTAGATGCGGAGGAACGTGGCTTTGGAACTATCATTGCCCCAAGGGTAACAAACTCAGGGCCAAAACTAAAACATCCATTTTATTTTGCCTTTTGTTGTTGTTGTTGTTAATTGGTGGGCTTTTCAATTAACATATAGCAGTGTTTCTTAGGAAATCTGCAGTGGGGAATTGGACGCCCAGCATCCTGTAGGGCTATGTACTTTCTGTAGAAATTAATGACCAAGGTACGAAGGTCTTAGCTAAATCAAATTTAGAAGTTGCTTATTTTCACGCTCCCAGCAGTACAATTTAGCTCCACTGCAAAAAGCCAGGAGTAGTCTCACTTGGCCTCCTTTAGAAATTAGCTAGAGACACCTATTTGCAGTACGCACAGCAATATAAACAAGCAGAATCACTGGCCCTGAGGAACAGCCATAAAAAGATCATGCTCCCAGAGATTAATTGCATATGACCTCAGCTTTGAAATGAAGCAGCACATACTGCACACTGCTATTACTTTTACTAGGATCAAGTTAAAGTTACAGCAACTCTTGAAGCTTAATCTTAACCCGCTATACCTACTAAAAGGATGTTTCTTAGAAAAAAATATCTCTGAGATGTGAAGAGCAAAAAAAGGACATGGCCTTTGACAAATCTACTTACTGGATAAGCATCAGAATCATCATTGCTCATCTGCAGAAACCTCTCAGGCCTGGCTGATGAATGCTCTGGACCCTGATAAAGGTATTATTTAAAACAACATTAAAAAGCCAAATCAGCAGTTAGACATCAGTCTAGGTCACTCACTGCATAAGTACCTCCTGTCACCCTGGCAGCTCCGCCCCAGGCTGCACACCTGCCTGCCCCCAGCCAAAGGCATCAGCAGCAGCAGTGAGAGAGGAAAGGGCCCATCGCAGGACTGGAATTCTTCGTCTTCCGTAAACTGTTTTCATAGGAGAAGATTAGGTTTTACATGGATTTCCAGTGCTTTTACCAGCTGCAAATAATTTCTAGCCTCAGTAGAGCTGCACAATGAAGACCAGCGAAAGGGCAGTAGGTCCACGTGGACACAAGAACAACTTTGCTAATGCAGGGCAAAAAGGGGCAGGAGGAATGTCAGGAGCAGAAACGCTGTGTGACACTCACTTCTTTGGGCCAAAGCACACTTGCACACTCAACAGGAGCAAACACAAAATTAAATACTGACTATCTTAGCTATATTAGCAACACAAGCAGACTCAGGGTCTCTCTCCTACCATTGTTCACTGTTCAGTACAGGACATGATAGCCTAGATGAATGTGTCAGCTAAAATAGATCAAAATATGCGTACACATTATCTGCCAAACTAACCTATGATTAATTTTTGCCTCCTCAGGAGGTATTTTCCGTTCCGTCAAAGTACTGAACACTCATATCCACTGTCCTACTAGCAGTACCCAAGGTAATTTCTTTTTGTGCACAAACACTGTTAGATCCATTTTACACCAGCAAAACATGCATGCTGGTCACAGGCAATATCAGGAATAAGCAATGTAACAGAATCTATTATCTTCCCTCTCGTCTTCTTGTTTATAAAGAATGAGAGAAAGCTGTGACAAGTACAAGAATGCAGTGTGCTTTTTTATATATTGCTAATGCTGGCAGCCTTTGCTTGTTCAAGTGACAGTTACTGTTAGGAAGGACTTTCATTTTGGAGACAGTTGCAAGCTATTTTAACCTGAAGATATAAACTATTACACCTCTCAAATCTCTCCACGGCTCCTAACCTAACCGTGTTCATAAAGAGCTTTTTTCTTTATAAGGCCGTCTCTCATCATAACTTCCTCTGTTGAAACCTTAACATATGTTCTCCAAAATCACTCACTGCTTTGACAGCTAGTAGTCCACGTTGATTCAACACATAATCCTCCCTGCTTCCAAGTGCAGGATTCACTCTGCTCCCTGGACTAAGGGAATTCAAAGGAAAAAACACTCCACTAGCAACAAAGGAGTAACACAAACAGCCAGGATCTGTGTCTTGCACAACTACTCTTTTGAAGTCTGTCTCCACTTTCGAGGTGTCACGTCATAGATGCGTAAGGGCTTGAGAACAAGAAGCAAAGCCATGCAAAACTATGGTTCACAGTAACAGGCCAATATTGCAATACCTCAGCTGTATACATCTATTTGCTGTAAATCAAATCCTACACTAAGTACAACCTATGTATGTACAAACATAGTGCTTAACAAGCACACTGACTTCAGTATGCTGGAAATGGAGATGTTACTAGCCAACAATTACAGGAGAGACACGCGAGGCTTCCCTAGCACACACACATATGCTGCCCCAGCAACAACCTCAATCCAAAGCCTCAATGTTCACATCCATCCTTGATTTCTCTGCTGACGCTGCCAGTAGGCTTGCCAGCAACTGCTGTGTGGGATGGGGCAGGGTTTATTTCTACTGTGACTGCCTAGCCAGCAAGACCTATACTGAATCCATTAGCTACTTTTAGATGAGTCCCGAAAGAGCCATTAGGCAGCAGAGTCTTTCAATCACAGCCAACTTGCGTGTGAATGCGTGACCTAGAGGTGAAGGGATCCATATCCCATTACTAATCATTCCCCAAATCACTCTGTCCCCATCACTGTAGTCATAGAGAGAATAACACTCCTGTCATGGAAAGCTCCTCTGACAAGATAACATATTTCAACAGCCTGGTGGTATTCTTAAATATTCCAAAACCACCTGACACTCATAGCAAAATAAGCATCTTATCTTGGCAAATCTTAGCTGCCAAGTCGCTAAGAGAAAAGAAAGATTAACTGTATTATAAGTAGCAGAGAACCAGCTCCCTTCAGCTGAGTGCTTCCCTGCAGAGGACCACACCTTCTGCTGAGGGGCACATTCAGGCAGTCCCACAGGATTCATTTAAAAAAAATAATTTATCAAAACTCTTGTGAACAGCAACAGACCCTTTATTCTTTACGCACAAATGGGTATGGAAAGCCATTCATAAGATATGAATGCACCCCAGTATATCAGGACAGGATTATAATTGAATGGAAATAAATGAAATTGTTTATGAGAATGGAAATGACGCAGTTTGTAGGGAGAGGGTCTACAGCATTTATACAGGTGGAGATTGCCACTCTGGCACATACTATGCTTTTCTTAATAGAAAACTAGAAACATACATGCATCAATTCATTAATGTTAATGCATTTGAAAAGGAGAAAATCAACCTAGCCTGACATGATGTTCATGTAACCTTTAAAAATAATTTAAGAGATTTGAAGAACAATTCTACTGCTGATATGAACTTCATATAACATTACATACAGAGCTTGCCCATGCCATTTCCCTCTAAGACACTGTCTAGTTCCTCCTACTGGCCACCAAAGAGAGTCAACAGCTAGTGCAAACATTTTCCTTTCCAGAAAGAGAGAAAGGTTACCCAATGTCAATGATTTTTGAAGAAGTTTTAAAGTTGTTTCACGTCATTTCATTGCAAGTGAATTTAGTGCAGAGTTTACACAGACATACCTCATGCAAAATAAAACCAAGCAAGTACTGCTAGACACTAACGATTTCTTCCTTCTGTACGCTAAGAATCC